GCGAAGTACACAAAAAGTCATTAAAGGCCCACTCTCCTCATTAAACTCTATCAGGACCATATTTTTTGGATTGCGTTTATCTCCCATTATTTTAATAGTCTAAAATCCAAATACGTCAACAACAAAAAATTATTTTTCAGAGAAAATATAATTATGTCATGGAAAGTGTCTGTTTTCGTAACTTAATTGTTATCACTAATTGATTGGTATACTTATGGTCAACCCTTTTAATCCAATAAGACTATCATTTAGTTTCTGAAAATCCGATTATTATAAATAAAGTTATTCAGGGTAATATACTTTTCTCCTTTCACCGTTCGCATAGTTTAGAATTTTAACTTTGCTTTGTATTTAAAGCACAACAAGTGGCGGTTTTATTTCCCGTAACGAGAGAGCTTTTAAGAACGCTTCACTATTGGGGTTATAGGAATTTCATTGGATTTCTATAAATATTACCACTATCTGTATTTTGCCAGGCAAGTTGTTTATTAACAGGGCTTGATTTAGAAATCCGAGGGCCCTCAGCACAGAGCTGTTGAGAGCCCTACCGCTCCTCAAATTTACATGTACAAAATGGTTTTTAACTTATTATAACACCATCACATTATGTTATATTAGTAAATTTGTGCTTTTTTTATTATAATTTTTGTTAACTCATAATTTTAATAATCAATTCTTATACGAAAAAATAAATATTTGTAACATTTAGGCAGCCTCTAAACATATGAGGACCCTAGGCCCGGACCTTTAAGGCCTTGTGATAAATCATTCTCTGTTTATTAATAGTTAAATTCCTCATACTATTCTAATAAAAAAGTTATGTTCTTATTTTTTCTTTCCTTATAACAGATAAATATCAAGTGATTTTTCTGGAAGGTAATTATATTTTTAGCTAATTTCCGAAGTAAATATCCGGTTTTTCATTATGAGGAATTTATAACTTTCTCATTTGTCACGGCCAAATATTCTTTTATCATCCTAGGGAAAGAGTTTCATTAGTCACAGGATATTACTATGCATTTTAGATTGAAGCTTGCAGACATCCTGCTCGAAAAAATATACCCTTTCCCCAGACCTTTACTATATATAAGTGAAAAAAAAAATATTAACGTGATTGATTGATTAATCGAAGGTCGTTATCATTGATCTGGCAAAGAGTTGGGGACATTTTTATGTGGTATGTATACTTGAAATTTATTTATGCTGATTCTGTTTTATTTTTAAGGTTCTTAAACCCACATTATATGCTAACGGAAATACTTTTTTTTAAGATTAATTTCTTTTAAATTATTCTTTCAAATTTTGTCATTAGTTCGAGTGTTAGTTATATAGANTTGTTGAGGTCCTTGAAAAGTCCTGGAAAGTCCTTGAATTTCAATCTCATCATAGAGTGGGAACCCTGATATAGAATTTAGTCATTTTTCTTGCTTAGCTTTTCACTATATCTAAAAGGAAAGTGATAAATGGGTGTAATTATTAATTTACACTTAGATATTTCGATTAATACGATTGTGATACTTTATTTTAAAGGAATGCAAAATAATTGAAGATTTTGATTGTTTTCCTGCATATTACATTGCGTGTTTTGCGAGTATATTCGTCTTTTTCAAAAGAAACTACGTTTTCAGGCAGGTTTATAAATTTGTTAATTATAATTTTTATTTTTTAATTAGTTTTCCAGTCGATTATATACGACACTCATTACTATACAAAATATTGAAAATCGGGACATCGGAATTAATGTGAGAATGTTCAAGGATGTCATGCCAGTAGACCTTATGCGGCCCGAAATTATTCGATTAAAAAAAAATATATATATTAATACAAAACTTCGCTCTTATATTCATACAAAACTCTTAAAACTATTTTAAAAGAATTTGCTGTATTCTTATAATGTATTCGTTTTTCACACTTCATTATTCACTCTGTTATTTTGTGGTCTAAATTAGCTTCATCTCAAAATAGAACGTTATGTTGTGCAGCTATTATTAAACAAATGGCTTATCCTGCTTGCTTTATTTGCATTATAGTTTTTAGTGTGTATAAAACAAACGAATAATATTTTTTTATTTATTTATTCGTAAAAGAACTTATTAAAAACAAAAATCTTGTCGTTTGTAAGTACCCAAAGAATAAATACAAGATATAGTATTTATTCTTCAGGATTAGGCTTAAAACATCTGCTGTGAGTTAATCAGCTGCCATTTCCGTCAACAAATGAAACAGATGGTTAACCGTTTAAATCGTTCCTCGTTCGCTACTCATCAATATGAAAACAACATTTTCTATAATTTAGTGGCCGATTTTCACTGAAGCTTCCTTTTTTATAGGTCTTCAAATTTCTAGCTCTATGAAGCGTCATTTTAAATTCATAATTCTGTTCACACTCATTAGTAGGACTCTTAATTTTACTATTCTATATTGATGTAATGTTATTTTAATGCTTATTGTAACATCCGTTCTGAACAGTTTATTGAAGTTTAACGATCGAAATTAGGTTCTTCCCATATCTTGTCTTTCTTTCATCCCACCCCATTTCCAATAACAACCTCTTCGGTTTGGAGGATTTGGCCGATGTTATAGAAAGAACAGTGGTCGGAAAACTACATTGTTCTTGTAGATTACTACAACTACTTTGTAACAAATGTAGTTAACCAGGGTGCGTAGCGTTTTTAAAAAGTGCTTATAGGTGCTTATTTTTGATTTTCGTTTTTTAAAAGCCCTTAAAGGCATTTGTGTATTGTGTATTTTTAAAAAGTGCTTAATTTTCTCTATTTCAAAATGAGATTTTTCCTTTACTTTGTTGATTTTCGCTTCGAATTATCCAAAAAGATACAGTTCAGATTGTTCGATTCAACGTTTTCACAATTAATTCAACCCCAATCTATTTTGGCTTGTTGTCAGTCCGTAGCGCATGAAAACGCCATTCGTTTATAAGATTCAAAATTTCATGATTTTTGACAATTGTCAAAAACAATGCCAAAATATTTTTATTTTTATTTTTTTGCATGCCAGTTGAAACAAGATAAACCCGTCAATTGTAAAAAACCTTCCAACCCTTATTAATTCTGATATTCTTTTAAAGTGCTTAAAAATATGATATGAGTGCTTGAAAAGTGCTTATTTTTTGTTGAATAATTTGGCTACGCACCCTGTTAACTATAACTACGTGTTTTTAATGAAGTGACTACAAACTACTTTGGAATTATAGTAACTACTTCAATACTTTAAGGAGACAAGCTTACGTTAAATGTAAGGGGATAATTAATAAATATTTATTCATGTTTACATAAGCCAGTTTGTTACTCCCCCAATTTTTTTTAATTTTTAAATTTGTTCATTTAACTTTCAACTTTTTATGCCTTTCTCGACAGCGAATATTTAATTTAAGAATTGTGAAATTATCAAATACTTGAAATTTTTAAAATTGTTTAATGCTATTTTGTTTCCCCTAAGAAATTAAGCACATATCGAAAATATCGTTCCCTTCCTTTGAAATAACATCACGTTTCACGAGTGTACATTCGCGTGTGGAAGTGTGACCAAAGTAATATATTATAAACTCTGGAAAAACAAAAACATAAAAATTCAACCAAAATTAGAATTTTCAATACTTATAATAAATCTGACATACTCTATGTATCTGAGCCATATAAAAATGACATCAAAAAACTTCAAATATTTATTAACACCAATTAAAGAAGAATCTTCCGTATTGAGTGGTTTCTTAAAATTTGTAACACTGAAATCTATAGAAAAGCAAAACAGAAACCAATTGAACAGGGAAATTTAAAAAAGGAAATGGTTCTACGTAAACCTGTGAAATTTAAAGTGTGACAAGGTTTTTATTGGTACCCACTGGTCTATTGGTACTATTACATGCATATCAATATTAAAATAAAATAAAAGATGCGTTTTTAAGAATTGTTCCATCATATTCCTAATTGGTTTTAAAGTATATCGTAGTTTTGTCACAATTAGCCCAGTATTCCTTAGTTTATGAGTAAGTGTTGGCGATTTATTTTTTAAACTACTCATGCTGATGTTCTCGTTTTTTTCGAAAATGAAATCTATCTTAAGCTATTAAATTTAAAATAAAAAGATTTCCTTTTTAGTATTTACATGTCGTTAACCGTCATTGAACAGCCGACCTAGTTTTTGGTTTACGACTATTGATGTTCAACTCCGTAACTTTGTTCTTCTGAGCCCAATCCAGAAGACAATGAGAAATTTGCTTTCGTGGAGGACTTTTTGATGGAGCTAACTGGCATTTGCGTTACATGGGGAGGAAAACCACGGAAACCTCCCATGGTTAGCCTGACGGCAAGGGGACTCGAACCCTTGATCTGTCTACGACTACGGATATTTTAAGTAAGCACTACGGTCAGTGCGAGCCGGGTACAAAATTCGTATCAATCAGTCATCGTTGGAATTCGAACCCGGTTCACTTCATTGGAAGGCGAATGCTCCTGAGCCACCACGGCTCGGTCTAATTGAATCGTTATTATTTTGCCATGCAGTGGGCTAATTGGGGAAATCTCTAGTGTTACTATTCAGTCTGATATTTTTAGGCTTATTGCAATCAGCCCATATGCTATCAGGATGATTAGAAAATATGCTAAAAATTACTCAGTTTTAATTTCCTTTGGCTTATTACTAATGAGCTTTGTCTTCCGCTGGCGCTTTAATAACTCTTTACTTAACTGACCTCGTTAAAAAAAAGCCTACATTACTGAGAACTCATTTAAAGCAGTTGACTAATTGATCAATGAGTTCTAAATTCTCTAATTAGCCTAAAGGAAAGTGGACTCATTGCAGAAGGCCTAAAAATTATCAGACTGATTATAAATTATTACTAGAGGTTTTTCCAATTAGCAACAATTCCAACATAATTTGCCCATAATCGATTTTTTTTTTCATTTAGCCTACGGCATATTTGATATTTAAAGAAGCTCTTTAAAGAAAAAATCTGCGAATATTAATCTGAGATTTTTTTCTAGGACTCCAAGCATTCACGGCCGGGAGCATTTTAATTGTTCTGCATATTTCTCTGTGTTATCTGTTGTTTCTTCTTGACCATGCAGCTATGATAACAGCAAGACTAAGAAAACTTGAAGGCTGACTTTAAAAAAAAAAAGTATATAATATGGAATTCACTTCTTTTATTTTATTTTCAAGCATTTCTTACTGTGTTTTCTTCATGCTTTCGAAGCAGTATTTATAATGAATGTTTTACTAACCGTAATACAAAGAGTTCTGTGAAACAGTTCTTAAAGGAAAGCGAGACAGAAAAGTTTCCTCTCTATGGTTAATTTTTAAAGTTTAAAAAAAAAAAGGCAAAGGAGTTATTAAAATCATCAAAGACCAGTTTATTTATCTAGTGAATCATCTTTCATTAATCATCGCCTTTATTTTTGTAGCCTCAACATAAACTGGTTTAATTTTATTGATGTTTTTTTTCTTGGTTACGTCAATCGTGATTAATAATTCTGAGTGATAAAAATTTTTTTAACATCGTGATATTTTCCAATTCATGTAATTTGCATTATTTTTACATTGATCAATATTTCGTTGCTCAGATAAAATTCGTTTACATTTACGATACTATCATATTTGATGATTATCTTAATCGATAATTTCTCACTCGCTATATTAACTTATTCGATGTTTATTGTGGACCAATAATGATCGCAATATTATTGTTGTCCGTAATTATCATTGATTCGATTTTTCATGGAAGACATGGTATTCATGGTTTTTCGTGAAAATTCTTTTTAAAATATCTTTACCCCGTGACCTTTCGATATTTAACGATACATTGATGTATCACCCAGTATCAATAATTTACCATATTTCAAAAACGATTTTGGTTTTATTCTCATTTTATTATATATTTTTTATTTATTTTAGTTTTTCTGGCCTTATTTTTTATAAGTAATTTTTAAATATATGTTGAGCTTTAAACCTGCATTGTAAAATATTAATTGCTATTTAAACCATCGTTTCTATACATTAAAAAGGGGGGAAATATATTAAGCTCTTATCGACTATTATTATGTTTTCCCAATCCGATTTGAAAGAGGAAAAAAGTAATATTGTCATCTATAAGTACTATCAGTCAAAGGATGGTATTGTCACTTATGGTGTTTCTTTTAAGAAAATCGGTTGTCATGGTTACATCACTGAAAAATATGTCGCCTTGGTTTCGAACCAAACAAAGTATCCCTTTCACAAACTGTTATTTAGATAAAAAATATAAAAGAAATAAATAAAAAAAGAAAAGAAAATATGCTATTTCTTATTTTTAACATTATTTTTCCCAAGTTCGTATTGTTATATTTCTGCAATGTAAAATTACTTTCTGTTTATTACGAAAATACATTCACGATATATGGTTAAATAATTTAATAATGATAAAATTGTGTGAAAGTTAAATTTTAAGCGTATAAAAAAAGAGATGAAAGAAAAAGAGTATATAAGTTTTATACCGTGTGATATTTTGTTACAAAAACTAAACAGTTCTTAAATAAATCTTCAATTCGAAGTATTTTGGAATCGTGTATTTAAAGTTAAAGTGCAATTTTTAACTTATTTCAGTCTACTAAACAACTGCATTTATTGGTAGAGTTAAAAGTCTGTTTTCATTAAAATTGTTGTAATTTAACAGTTAATTAAACAGTTAATCAAATGTATATTATTTGTCAGTTCACTTTTTCCTCAGGAGGGAGAGAAATTAAACATTTCGTCAATTTTGATAGCATTTAACGTAACGAGGCATTTTATTCATTAGACTAGATTCGGTTGAAAATTTTGATTCCTGTAATATTTCGAAAACGATTCAACTTAAAATAAATGTTAATTGAAGTAATAAATTTTTAAAGTTTCCAATATATTAACCAATTTTCTCTCAGTAAATCGGAAAAAATATTAAATTTTTTTTTAAAAAGTTATAATTTTGAAAAAGAAAAAAAAATATTATTAAAAAAAAAACGAAATTGAATAAAATCGACGCTTTTTATGGGGGGAAAGAAAGGAGATGAGTTTTATGAAGCATTCATTGCCAAGGTCAGTTAAACATTAAGAAGGTGAAAAGTCCTGCCCTTCAAATAAAAGGCAATTGAGTCATCTAATATTCCAGAAGAAGTAGAAAAGAATTATATTAAGTGCCAGCTGTTCGAACTAACCATCAGTAATCAGGCATACAAAATAGCACTTAAGCATATACAGTTAGCATTAGCGAAATTCTAATAAGTGCAATTTTAAGGTATGCATACTACTTAATTCTGCATTAGTGAGATCATGATTATTAAATAAAAAAATAAGTAACACTTACATTAACTTAAAAATAGTACAATACTGAAACTTTATACTTGATTTTAAAGATAAATTGATTACCCAGAATCAATGTTCGTGTTTTTGTTTAAATTAGAACTATCCCCTATTGCCCATTTATCATCATGTAATTAATTGAACCATTCAAAATATTTGCTCACCGGATTTCAAATTTTAGTTGTTATGTAATTTAGTTTTAATTTTCTAAGGAGAGAAGATTTGGTTTATGAATAGCTTGTTAGAAAGGAGAAGATCGATTTCTTTTATTTATTATTATTTTTTTATATATTTCTTGTTCCTATCAAATCTTTTTGTTTTTAAACGACGGTTGCTATTAATTTTTTTAAAAATTGATTTTGGAATGGAAAAACATCGTAGGTTAGTTGCAAATAGCAAAGTTTCATAACTCAAGGTATTTTAACACAAGATTGCTCAAGGAAGTCATTTTGACTGCTTTTTCATTTGCAAAAAAATGTACAAATAATCATTCATAAATTATTTTTTTTCTTCCAAGTGAAGTAAATTTTTTTTATTGTTAATATTTACTAATAACTTGTTATATAACTGTAAATAACATGAAAAATATTAAAAATTAATTAAACAAATTTCTTTACACATTAGTTATTCTTTCACAGTGCAGTAATTTTGACTGCTTTTGGGCAATACTAAGTTTCAGTCTTTCTAGTGTTAAAAAAAATACGCATATTTTAAACAGATTATTACGGAAATTCTCAAAAACCCTAATAATTACGGATACCGTCACGGATTACGTCTTAATTGGCACCTGTGCAGCACCAATTTTAAAAGCAATCAATAGTAACAATAGTCGGCTACTAGAAGTAAATTAATTCAAGATAATTGTATCAAAATTATAAGTCCATTCGATGAAAGCTGGCGATGATTAATAGTACCTCCTTGCTCTGATTGTTACACTAACTTCAAAATCCATTATCTCGAAAACATGTTTTTGAAGTCTGTTGTAAAATTTCCTCAGATGATCAATGTAATTTTTGTTACTCTGTGTTCAGCAAGGTTTTCTTCATCGTTTAGTTAGTTTTACCTTTCGATTTAAATTCAATTTTTCACAGTCGAACAAACTTATTTACAGAGAGAAAAATAGATATCTAAAGTTTTTGTAAAGTCGCAATTTTATTGCTGATTTTTTTTTTTTAATCGAATGATAAAGTGCTAGTTTTTATTCCTATTAGTGAAAATGCGGTGGAATTGATTTTAGGTCATTTTTCTGTTGTCAGGAGTTGTCATGAATTACAATATCAAATAACCTTCATCTGAAATCAACCGTTCAAAATATAAACTTCACGATTTTTTCATATATATAGATAGATAGATAGATTATTTTAAGACTTAAAGATGCCATTAATAAGTGTAAGAAAACAATTAAACAATTTTTAAAATGATAATTTTTCCAAAGGAAAAAAAAAACTTTGTTGGAAATGAGAAGTGTTTGAAATATTATTTTTAATTGTATATATCATCTTTCGATTTGTCACAGCAACTCATAATTTTAAATCTGAATGCGACCGTCCGATTTAGAAGGCCTGCAATTTATTTATTTATTACTTTTATTTATTAATTTATAACTGTAAGAAAACAAATTTTAAAAAATTTTCCAACTCTGTATTAAAATCTAATAATGGTGTCACAGTTTTCGATTGTTGTCGGTACATTTTTATTGCCCGGAGTGACATGGTAGGATTAAGTTTTTGCACATTAATTTCCAAAATTTTTTCGGTGGTCATTAGCATAAAATTAATTAAAGTCATAAAGGAATTTCCGGTAAAATATTTTTGTATCCAAATTTTAATTTTACTTTATTTTAATATTTACTTTTCTTATTTTACTCAGTAATTATTTCGTTTTTGATTTTGATTGTTTTCTTAATTCCAAGTTTAAAACTAAGAGAGTTATTTATTATAACGTAAATTACCCTTTTACATTACCTTATTACGCAATTAGCCTGTTTGGTAAGCGAAAATATTAAATTACGGTAACAAACTCACCAAATTCGTCATTAATTTGAAATGTTATTAATATTTTTTTTAAAATTGTTCACTAATTGATCTTAATAGAATCATCATTGATATTATTTATCAATCAAATTTAACTTAAAATAACATTTAATTTAAAGAATTAAATATTGGACGTGGCGTGGGAAGGGGAGAGCATAAACTTAAGCAAACAAAATTTTTTTGTAGTACATATATTTTAAAGGAATAATTTCAACTTATGTAGAAAAAACTATTTTATACTAAGAAACAACAATTATTGCGAGGTAATCGGGCAGGGGCCCTAATCTCCCTATATTTTTCATAAAACCATGGAGCGTAGCGTTTTTAAAAAGTGTTTAAAGGTGCTTGTTTTCGATATTCGTTTTTTAAAAGCCTTTAAAGGTGCTTTTTTCATTGGGTATTGGTAAAAAGTGCTTAATTTCCCTATTAGAAAATGGGATATTTTTTCTTTACCATGTCGATTTTCACCACGTATTATGAAAAAGTGTGCTTTTCACGTTGTTCTATTCAACGTTTTCACAATTCATTCAACAATCTATTTCGGCGCACCGTCGATCCGTAGCGTATGAAAGCGCCAATCATTTTAAATGTTTGATGAAATACTTGCGAGTCCGCATGTGCATCTACTGAGCAGGGTCCGGTGAGATTATTGCACTCTCAACCGATAAATCTCTTGATCATTTTATAATAGCTAATATAATCAAGAAAAGCATTCTTTGTCAGAAGCTAGTTATTTTTTCATGATCATGTAAAATCTTTGGAAATTATTTAGCAT